TCCAAATGTCATACTCAAACCTCTTTTCTGCCATTGGCGTAGAATTTTTAAAGGTGCAATTATTTAAAAAATCAAGTTCTACGCCTATGCATTATTATCGGACAAAATTTTATACAATGAAAAACATAAAAATGTACTTTTTTCATATCTTCTTCAACACCTCTAATCGAGACTTTTAACAAAAATACTCGATTCTTGCCATGTACGATTTTTTGAGGAATATTAATTATATACAAAAACATTTATTGTTGGTTTCCATAGTTTCATCTAAATAAAAATATTGTTAAGTTTTAACACCTAATCTCTTGTTAACGATTGAAAGTGTTCTATCTGACTCAATAATTAAAAAAACAAATGCGTAGTTTATTAATATGGCTGTACAATATACCAATGCAGAATATACCGATATGTTACTGACATTAGGATTTTGTAAAGGAAATGCTCGAGAGAGTGTCAGGGTGTACTCTGAAAGGTTTCCAAATCGTCGTGTACCTAGCCACCCAACTTTTGCTGCTGTTGAGAGACGTCTTCGGGAGACCGGTTCCTTTGCTCCCAACACTGTTGATAATAGAAGAGAACGCTTTGTAAGGATTCCTGAAGTTGAAGAAGACATTTTAGAACGTGTTGAAGAAGATCCAGAATTAAGCACCAAACGAATTGGAAGGGAACTAGAAGTAAAGATGTCGTTCATAAAGTGCTTAGAGAACAATTGCCATATCCATACCATAAGAAGCCAGTACAAGAATTATTAGTCCATGATCCTCAAATTCGTTTGGGTTTCTGTCGATTTGTCAATATGCAAAGAGAAAGAGATCCAAACTTTGTCAAGAAGGTTCTCTTTACCGATGAAGCGGGTTTTACAAGAAGAGGTATAACTAATACCCATAATAAACATGTTTATGCCGCTGAAAATCCGCATGCAATAAAGGTAAACCATTTTCAGCACGAATTCAAAATTAATGTGTGGGCTGGAATAATTGGTAATTTCATTGTTGGTCCTGTCATACTTCCACGAAGATTAACTGGAGAAAATTATTTGGATTTTCTACAAAATACGTTGCCAGAATTGTTAGAAGATTTACCTCTTCAACTTCGGAGAGATATGTGGTTTATGCAAGATGGAGCTCCACCATATTTTTCTTTAAACGTTAGAAACCACTTGAATGAACAATATTCACACAAATGGATAGGCAGAGGTAATGACGCACCTGTAAACTGGCCACCACGTTCCCCAGACCTAACACCGATGGAATACTTTTTATGGGGACATCTAAAATCCATAGTTTACAGGGAACCTGTAGAAAATGAGGAACAACTCTGGCAACGTATTCAAGATGCAATAAACAATCTTAGAGGTGATGAAGAAGTTATGGAAAAGATACATTTTAATTTTCTTCGACGTATAAATCTTTGTATGCGTGAAAATGGTGAACATTTTGAAAAATTTTTGTAAAAGCTCTATTTTGATTATGTTGTAAATAAATATTTTTGTGAAACCTATACACTCTAAATTATTAAAATAGAAATTTAGCGAAAACCATGAGAGTAATCGAGTCTTATCAGGAGTAACTTTTTTAAAGTAAATGAGTTGCGCAATCTAAATTTCATACTCAAACTCCTTTTCTTCCATTGGCGTAGAATTTTTAAAGGTGCAATTATTTAAAAAATCAAGTTCTACGCCTATGTATTATTATAGGACAAAATTTTAATACCATTTTTTTTGCCACATAAAACTCTACAAATATACCAAATTTCAGCAAAATCGCATATGCCATTTTAAATTTATATGGGAAAAACGATTTAAAAATTGTAACTTCAAGACCCTCTGGAGCCCAAACCAAGCAACTTTGTACTAAGGTAATTTTACCTAAATCAACTAACTTTGGTCTAAGGAATATGTGGTATGTTTTTGTAAAGACCTTTTACAGACACCCTGTATATGTAATCGATCTTTTTTATTTTTTTTTATTTATATCGTATAAATTTCTTTATGGTCGCACTACGATCAGTATTAGTGAGCATTACCTACTAATGGATCTATTGTTATTTTTGTTTATTATAATTTTGTTTTGAATTTTTTGTGTAATATATATATTATAAAACCTTAGCTGTTACTTAGGTTTATAAGCAATAAACGTATTATTTTTATTATTATTAACTTATTTTAAAACAACTACTGTTCAAAATACTATTGCGCAATGTTGATTATACATCTATTAATACCTTGAAGTTTACAACAGTTCAATTCAGAAAAGACCATATTAGTTATTTTAAAATCTACCATCAGATTATACGTAGTCTAAAAAAGAATTTCGTTGTAAATAACATTTCTTTAAAAATCATTTATTCTGGAGTATGATTGTATTGTTCTTACAGAAGCTTCTAAAATACAAGGTATAAGTTTATTCCAGATAAATAAATATCATTTGCTACACTAGAATGCATTTTTAAAAAAGGAAGAACTTCATTGCCAACAATAAACCCAAAAACTTTTTTCTATCACCTGCCAATACAAACGAAATAATTATTAGGTGGCATTAAGGGAAATACGTTAAAAAAATTGGAAAGAAAATTGCACGACCTTTAACGCACCTATTAAATAAAAAATTTTAAACTAGTTGAATTCAAAACTGCAATAGTAACACACATGTACAAAAAAGTTAATAAAGAAAATATTTCTAACTATAGACCGATCTCCAATATTAAATCAGCAATTACTACCTTTTAAGTCATAAAGATATTCTTTCTAATAAGCAATTTTGATTTTAAGAAGGAAAATCTACAGTAGATGCAATTAATAAACTCATGGGTGAAGCAACATATTCGCTTAATAAGTCCAAATCATTGCTCTGTGTATTTCTGGATCTAGCTGAGCCATTTGGCGTTGTATGTCACAAACAGTTACCGAATGCCTTGGAGAAAATTGGTATTAGAGGATCTCCAAATAAATTATTTGAAAATTACTTGACAAATAGGAGACAAATGGTCAACATTAATTCTGGAGTTCCCTAAGGCACTGTGCTAAAACATATCCTATTATTATCTACTTAAATAGAATACTCACGTACATAAGCGCGGATAAACTTGTAAGCTGCGCAAATGATATTGCCACTGTTTATTGTGCAGACAACTTGAAAGATCTGAAAATTAAAGCAGAAAAAAAATCTAATAATATTACTACCAGATATTAGGGATATAAAGATTGGAAACGCAACGACCCCAGCAAAGATGGCGTCATCTAGCGTCTTAGATGTTAACTACAGGTCTACGTTGTTTGTAGAGAGACCAGTGTTGTCAAATATTTTTTTGAGAGATCGTACAAGTAGAGTAGAAAAATAGTATGTCGACAAAAAAATTGTACAATAAATACATGCATAGCATAATATAACTTAAATGGATTGAAAAATAAAAAAAACTTGGGCATGATAATTTATTTATGTTTACAACGAAAAAAAAAAAAAAACTAAAGAAAATACATGAAACTTTAAATTAACACATTTAAAGTAATCAATGACTGTCACTTGAAAGTGAAATTTTGAATGCATGCTTTTCTTATGCCGTGATAGTCGGTGTACAAAATCACGATAAGAAATTACGAACGGCCTATGAATCTTTGCAAGTAGTTTTTGATTTTTATTGTTTTATGTTCTGAAGTTGTTGTAGATATTTAAATAAACCTACTAAAAAAGTGAAGATCGTATTTTTACGTACGATCTCACTGATGCAATCGTACATCGCCATCGTACAGAGAGCTAAAAAAATCGTATAAATACGATTTAAATTGAACGGTTGGCAACACTGAGACAGACAGTAGACGTGGACAACAGTGGACAGTTTGTAAATATAAATGTCAGTTTTATGTATATCGAAGAATCCTGAATTTAAATTTAAAATTTTGAGTTCATGACTGTGTTATCCTCTAGATCAGTGTTTTTCAACCTTTTTCATGATGCGACCCCCCTGGTATGAAAAAATATTTCGCGACCCTTCGACCCTTCGCTTTTTTATCATGTATGTATGTATGTATGTGTATGTAACACTGTTACAAATATTCATTCCATACGACGTTTTTATGCGTATCCATAATTAGGATTCGGATATAAGTACATAATGTAGTACGTAAAACACATTACTTTACAATTACATACATCGAATACGTCGCCAATTGATAACTAACTAACGCAATTTACTCACATAGGTATACGCACGTAAGGCCGCTGCGCTGCCTTAATTAAATTCCGCTACAAATAGCGGAATTCCGCTACATCTGGCAACACTGAGTTGTTGAGAGTAAACTAGTGAACGAACGAACGTACGTACATCAAAAAACTGGTATAGTACAAATGTCCAACCTAAATAAGAAAGCGTTGCTTGCTAGTTATCGAGTAGCTTTTCGTGTGGCTAAAGCAGGAAAACTCACACTATTGCCGAAAATTTGATTTTACCAGCGGCTTTAGATATAGCAGAGATTATATTTGGGAAACAAGAGGTCGAAAAACTCAGAAGTATACTTCTCTCTGACAATGCCATTCAACGCAGGATAAGCGATATGGTCATTGACGTTCGTGATCAAGTCATAGAAAAAATAAAGGAAAGTACTTTTGTATCTTTGCAATTTGACTAATCCACGGAAATTGCGGTTTGTGCGCAGTTTTTAGCTTTTGTACGTTTTGAATCCAGTGAAAAATGAATGGAAGAAATACTATTTTGCAGAGCGCTTCCCACAAATACTACAGGTCAGTGCTTGCATAACATGTTTCTTGAAGCTACGCAAGATATGAATATTGATTGGGCAAATAAATGCATTGTTATTTGCAGCGACGGAGCAAAAGCGATGACTGGTGCGAAGAGTGGATTTATTGCTAGGCTGAATGAACAGATGCCAAACGCTTGTTGGGTGCATTGCTTTCTCCATCGCCAAGCTCTTGCGGTCAAAACTTTCCAACAGGAATACAGCCAAGTTCTAAATATTATTATAAAGATTGTATATTCTATTAAAGGAAAAGCGTTGCAGGCACGATTGTTTCGGATTATTTGTGAATATATTGGGGCACTCCACCAACATTTACTTTACCATACAGAGGTTAGGTGGTTGTCAAAAGGCAAAGTACTGACCAGAGTTATGGAACTTCGTGCTGAGCTTTTAATATATTTACAGCAGGCCAAGTCAGAATACTCTGAATTTATTTGCGACCCGAAATTTCTTTTGAAATTAGCTTTTCTTTCTGACTTATTTGAGCAATTAAATATCTTGAATAAAAGTCTTCAAGGGCGAAATGAAAATGTCATTACTGCAAAAGACAAACTACATGGCTTTACAAAAAAAATTGACTTGTGGTCGTCGTCTATAAATCAAAATAACTTCGATTCATTTTCGTCGACACAATCTTTTACTGAAGAAGTCGGATGTGAGATAAACATCAAGGCATATATACGTAGTATGAAAATGGTGTTAGATAATTTGAAAGAATTGTGTCATTACTTCTCCGTGCAAGAGACATCGGAGAACACTGGGCAGAGGTGGATCTTAAATCCGTTTTTAAATGCAGCTATAAATGAGGTTAATTTGCCAACTAAGCTCAAAGAGAATCTGCTAGAATTATCTGCCGATGGGATGTTACACTTCAAGTCTGTTAATTTGGATACCTTTTGGTTAAGGAGAAAAACAGAATACCCTGAATTGACAACTGAGGCTTTGAAGTGTTTGATTCCATTTGCACCTCGTACTTATGCGTGTTGACATTTTCATCAATGGCCTAAATAAAAAGTAAGCAAAAAAATCGCTTAAATTTGGAAAACGATCTAATTCTATGTGTAGCAAATACAGATCCACGATGGGAGAAACTGATTAATCAAAAACAAGCACAACCTTCGTATTAACATGAGTTTTAGGATTTTATTTTTTGTTTATTTGTTTGTATTAACATACAAATGTTTATGAGTATATTCTTTTGTTAAAATTATCTTACTTAATAAAGATTAAAAAAGATTGATTTTTTACTGAAGTTCTCTCGACCTCTGGCGACCCCCCTACAGAAGCTTCGCGACCCCCTAGGGGGTCGCGACCCACAGGTTGAAAAACACTGCTCTAGATGAACTAAGCGAAATAGTTGTGGCTGTTTTTGTATGAAATTTATTTTGTAATATTACAATAAGTCAGAGAACGTATTGCATTAGTAACACATGCCACCTGAACAAATTTAACAACCCCAATGTGGCTTGAAAACTTTAGAAAGAAGATTTAATATAGGAAGAAAAATATCTGAATTCCCATTATTGAATTTTCACTCAATATTTTTAGATAAGATACCAAAATAAAAACAAAAATGCAGTGTTACAAATAACAATCAAAAATTTAAAAATATTTGTCATGAATATAGATTTACAATAATTAATCGATAATAGGCTGTAAGTGTTCTTTTTAATAAATAATTTAGCGTAATTACATTGTTTAAGTTTATTTACAAGAACATGAGAGTGCAGTCGATATTTATGCAACCTTTATTATCAGGTTTTTAAATTTCCCGCTGTGTTGTTTGATATCGATGAAAGCGCCACATAGTGGGTCAGATGTTAACTGCGATAAAGCTGGTCGTTGTTTAGCATTGGCTTCTTATGGGCGTTTCCTATCTTTATCTCCCTTATCTCTGATTACTACACTATCGAATTTTGATAGTTAACTTATTAATGCCAAGCAGGACATACCATCCACAAACATATAAATTATCTAGGAGTTTATATATACTCTCATCTTAAATTTGATATCTATATTGAAAATGTTTTAAACATTTTGAGGAATATACTGTATGTTAGCAGGTAAACAAATTTAGGTTAATTGTAGTACGGTAAAGAACATCGGCAGTCAAGAGCGGGGAGTGCAGGAACTGATGCGGTAGTAGCGGAGCGTCGTCAGCGCTCCTCTAGGCAGAACGATTTGAGTCGCTTTGAGTGTCTAGTGTGATCAGCTGTTGTTGCTGTTGGCATTGTGTTCTATCTGTAATTATTTATTTAATAAAGAATCCTTAGCTGGGGAGGAACTGCTATTTACTACCTTAAAAAAATGATGTTCTACACAAACAGTTCTTCAAAATTATTTATAATAAAGAATTTACCTATCCATCAAATCTCCTTTTTTATTTAGGTGGTATCGTGGATGTGAGACAGTCCTACACAAAAAATGTTTGCCTCAGAAATTATAATTATTAAATTAATATAAAAATGTTTAATAGTCTTTCAGAAGAGTATAAAATATACTGTTTAAATTTTAATTCTAGTGCAGTAACGAAAACGCGATTTAAATCATATATCACACTTAGAAAGCGAACTGGTTCATAATATAATTACAACCTAATACAATATTTTTTATGAATTCTTCCTGTTTTTATTCTTGACGTACTTTATTGGTAACTACATATTAATTTTCACTCTTTAACTCAGATATCCTATATTTTTCTATCTATTTATAATCTTCATAAGGTTATTTTTTGTTGCCTTATTTTTACTTATCAAAAAATAATATATTAATAATGTAAAACTGATAAATATGTAAACATAATGTGATATTTTTTAGCCACGCACAGGCTCTTATAACTTCAGTGGAAGAATACACATTGGTGTTTTCTATTTATTCAGATAAAATGTTTCTACTCACACTACCTACTTGTAAGCTCAATCAATTGTGAATTTCGTTTTTTTTTTACTAATCACACTTATTTTATATTTGCATGTATTACATTTTACCACGTGTTTAAATTAAAGTATTATAGTTAAATACGATCTTTTATAAAAAAAAAACATCTCAAACGAAAGTTTTATAGTTTTTTTTGGAGAAAACATTTGGCTAAAATCGTTTTATATAATATGGCCTACTTTGTTTTGGCGAAGCAAAATTTTCAAGCAGGGGGTCAATTCTCGACTTTTATTCCCATGGGAAAATAAAATTTTCCCATGGGAATTCAGTTTTCGTATTCTCGGAATAAGCGGTGGAATATTTTCCAATGAGAAGTATGGGAAAATATTCCCCTGCTTACGAGCATTGGAAATTGTGTTTTCCAATGGGAATTGTACTAGAGTTTGCGCATTAAAGTCGAAAATTTGACGAAAGACCACGCGAAAGTCCAAAGATTATTGGATATCTTGGATTTTTAGTGAAATTGTAGTTAAAACATTTTTTTGGTGTATTTATAGATTGATATTATTTTATTTATGTAGGTATATTATTTTTAATTCTCTTTCACTAAGAAACTGTATAAACTGATTTTCCTAAATCATTTAGAAATTGTGGGAGCTGCTAAGGGACTGGCAAATAACACAAATTGAGTGTAGTAAATTTAATAAGACCTTTTCGAAAATTTTATTATTTTCGTTAATGAAAGAATTTCTTAGTTTCTCAAAACTTTCGTTGCTCTTCCATACAAAAGCTACCTTTTCTTTTTTCAACATGAGAAAAGAAAAACTAAGAATAACTCGACAAGTTTTAATTATTGTACGTAATCGAATATTTTCACTTATTCTCGATCATGAATAGCGATTGCTCGGCACGGCACCTGCTCCAGCGCGGAGCTCGGCAGGTAATCGGATACCCAAAAACCACAACAAATACAAATATTGCCAACAGTAAATTTTAAAATATCTTTAATGTTATTGGTTGTTTCGAAATATTCGTGAACTTAATATCAGACATACGTGAAACTACTATTTCCATGGGAATGTCTATTCCGACACGTTCGAGAATTGCATAACCTATTACCATGGGAATATAAGTAGTGATTTTATAATAAATGATAATGTTAATACGTGAATATTTTAGTTATTTCTGTGAGTGGTACATATGGTATTACAAAAATTTTGTTGGTACAAAATACTATCAATTAAAATATGATTCTAAAATTTTGATTTTATTATAGTAAGATTATAGCAAACAAAACCAATTTAAAAAATATTTATGAAAAAATCATCCATATTAAAAATAAATTTCTCTTTATAGAATTTAATCCTTACTTTTGGGCGGACAAAAATATTCACCAAATATTAGTATTTTAGATTTAATTTCTTTAAATTTTGGTGGATCACTGATTATCTCAGAATTAAAAAAATGGTGGAAATATTTAAATTACATAATTAAATTTTGGTGGATGACTACACTGTAATATTTTTATATAAAATTCTGCTCCCTATCTACTATAGCTATTTGTGTATTAAGAGCAGAAAAAACACATTGGCAGTTGAGACAGAAAGTTGTTGGGCGACTTTCTGCTCGAATTTCACACAAAAATTTTTCCACGATCACATGAAAATAAAATAAATAATTTAATTTTATTAGAAATGGGCTGACTGCCTTCTTTCGTTATAATATTGTAAGTTTATTTGACATAAACCTACTCTTCAAAGAGAAAAAAATGTTTTAGTACTTATATGTCGTTAATTATTAATATGATTCAATCATTTAATTATTTTTTATTTATTAATTATAATAGCACAATGAGTATGCCCAATCAAACATAAAAAGTAAGTTAATACAAAAAGATAGCAAAATCAATTGAAAATTAATCAGAAACTTGAGTTTGAAGCTGAAAAACTAGATGATCAATATTACGGTCAATATCACTAGTATATAGGCGCAAAGTTTTTTCTAAATTAACATCTGTAAGCCGAGTACAATGCTTATTTTTATTAATTTTCATGTTTGAAAAAAGTAGCTCACATTTATACGTAATTTCAAATGTGCAAATTATTTTTCGTGCGAAAAATCTCAGCTGTGGATACTTTTCTTTGGAAAGGTATGTTCTGTAAAATACTTATAGTTCCACATAAACAAATTTAGATTTTAATTATTAATCTTCTTGAATCTCGATCAACTCCATTTTCTATGTGAAGCGGAGCATCTTCCTTATTACACTTACAAGGATTTGCAAAAATATTAAAAATGCTAACCATATTCTTAAAATCAGCACATTCGTTCAGTAAATTGCTCGGACAGTAGTTTCAAATATTCAGCATAACGACTCTATTCAATGTTTTAGTGACTGGATAATGTTGAAAAATGAAAACAGTTTTTACTTCTTATTTCTGTTTCCCACAAACGAATTTTATTTTAAAAAAGTATAAAATTACTGTAGAACTGATTTACCAATTGCCCGTGTCTTTGAAGCTTCAAGTTCAGGTCGTTTAAGTATCCTGTGATGTCTACCAGGAATGCCAAGTACCAAGTTGGATCACAAATTTGCAACAATGTTTTCTCTTTCATTTCCATAAAATCAGCAATCTTTTCTAAGGCCATAAAATCTTTTTAGCATTTTACCTTTGCTTAGCCACCTTACCTCGCAATAATGTCACATCATCACATTCTATAGAATGTTCGTTCAAAAATTCTTTAAACTGGCGATGGTTAAGACCGCGGAATCTAATGAAATTAATGGTATTTACTACCATATCTATAACATTCTTCAATCGAGTGGATTTAGAGCACAAGTTTTGTTGGTGAATAATCCAATGCAGAATTATTAAATCACATTCTTGCACATTCATAGCGGTTGTACTTTCCTTCAGAATTTCAATTAAACGTTTTCGTGAACTGACCATTGAAGGAGCACCATCCGTGCACACTCCAACTAATTTACACCTCTGCAAGCCATATTGCTCAAAAGTACTTTGCACTTCGGCAAAAATATTTCTTTTAGTAGTGGTCCCTTGTAGCGGCCGCAAAGCCAGTAATTTCTCTGTCAATGCAACATCTTCATCAACACCTCTTAAAAAAATAGTGTTAGATAAATCTGTATTCTCATCCAAAGCAATTGAAAATGCTTGAAAACCAGCTAATGTGTCAGTCAATGTTTTTTTGATGTCTAGCCATCATATGTATACGTCAAACAAGAGTACGTCGTGATAAGCTCTAACTCTTTCTTCTTTTCTGGGTACAAAAGTTCTGCAACGTCTACTATGCACTATTTAACAAAATATCCCTCTCAAAATGACTTCGATATTTTCGCTATTTTGGAACTAATTATAAAACTAGGTTCAACAACACTGTCTAGATTTAATCTTTGTAAATGAAACGCTTGTTGCTATTTCCCTAAATCGTTATTGAGTTTTTTATTTTTATCCTTTCTTAGTGAGTGAATTATGTGGTGCAAAATTATTATAATTTTGTTTCAGCAAATTTATTGCAGCCTCTGGAATAATTCTGGATATTTTACTTAGTACATTTCCAATTCTATCGATATGGAGATTTAGTTTTTTTAGCAAATATGCATGACATACTTTATGGAGCAAACACATCTCTACTGGTTGGTTTATTTCTCAAATGACATCAAGTTAAATGGGCACACTGGAAAACTAATTAACTAGCTGCAAAAATTAAGCAATTGGAAAGATTCTGCTTGTCCTTCCGTCTAGATTTCACGTTGAACAGATTAGATGGATAATCCTTAATCAGTAGCCTTACTAAATCGCCCTTTTCGTATTTATTGACAAGTTTCAATTGGCTAAATAATTAAATGAGATACCCTTTAGACTTTTGTCCTAAACGAAGTATATCCTTAGCAAGATTCGTGTATCTTTGTAAAAAAAATAAAACAAAAACAAAAAAATAAAAACTAATAAAAAAGCAATTAAATAAAACTATGTGATAAATCTTTCGTAGGCAAAGGAGTATAAGTCAAAAATTTAGAATCTGACTAAATGCATATTATAAGTCCACTTATACTGATTTTTTCACCAACAAAAGGTATTTATATTATGAAGTCCAAGTTCAATAGCGACCCTTATAGAAAGTACTGACGAATCTCACGTTTTAGACTAAGTATAGATGACTGAAACTAATTTAAAATTTTGACTAATACTCCTTTGCCCACACACGATAGAAACATTCTCTGGTACAAATTAATAATAATAAAAGTAAACTCACGATAAACACTAAATAGAATGGAAAATGTGAGAATTTTGTTTCGTAGCTTTTATTACAAGGTTTGGTCGCAAAAGTTAAAAAAAGCAATGGAATCCTCCACCAAAAATTAGAATGGAAAATTTATTCATTTGAAGAAAATACCTTCACCAAAAATTGGAATTAGAAAGATTATTTTTTATATTGTGGAGATAAACTTACTTACCTACCACCATTTTTCTTGAAACAAATTGCAACATCGTCTACTAAATCTCTACTAAAATTCAAATAAATTAAGGTCCATGTTTTACACTAAATACAAATTACAATACATTGTAATGAATTACTCAGAGTAGGAAATGATTATAGCTCAAATCAGCTGCCGAAAATAAAAATGTTCCAGAGGTATTGTTCAAATGGTATTATTCAAGAGGTATTGTTGAAGTGGTATTTTTTAAAAGGTATTTTAAGTTGAATTCATTTTTTTAAATAAACCCTCTACATCAAAAAGTATATATCTGTTAGTCACAATTAATAATTTTGACAGTTCTGCCAAAGAAAAAAAAAACAAAGAAAAAAAAAATTCATAAAAAAGACTACATAATCAATTTTAAATAAACATAAAACAAAAAATTGTAAAATTGCATTTTCCCGACATCAAATCAATTAAGGAAAAAAAAATAATAATAAATTAGTTTGGCAAATGGATTTAGATTCCGCAGCCATAGTTCTCGAATTCACACACACACACACACAGTTCTGCCAACACAAAATAGTAACTCAAATCAATTCAAAATTAATAATAATTGGCAACCAATATCTCGTAAAAAGATATTTAAAACTTTATTCTGTAGTTGACTCAAAGCGCATTTTAAATAAACCCGCCTCAAATCCATAAACTTGTTTTTCTAGAAATATTTCAATTTGAGTTTATTATAATGAGTTTGTTGACGAAAAATTGCTGTCTTTCTCTTTCTAAAAGAAAATTAAGTTTTTACCATATCCATAAAGAGAAACATTTCAAAAGAACAATTTGTAAAGAAGAAATACTATAATAATAAAAGTAGTAAACTTGAAAAAAGTGAAAAACCGAAAGTGCCGAAAATTTACTTGCGTCACTAAGCATAATAATCCGTAACAAAGGGTAAGTGACGTACAGCTTGCAACGTGACCAGATTTAGTGAAAAAGTCAGAAAACAAAACCTAAAGCTAGATAAACAGTTTATGAAGAAAACAATCATAAACTTTCCGTTGCAGGCATAATAACTAATAATTAGGGGCCAATTGTTATATTTTAAGGCACAAATGGTGATTTCTATCAGATATAGACAGTTTTATAAGGTCTATTAGACAATTTTGTTCATGTGTCGTTTTTGTATAAAGGCCTTACATTGAAAGTTTAAAATAAATAACCAAAGGACAATGGGCAGAAATGTATGGGAAATTGCCCCACTTCCAATAAGGATACGTTATATATCAATTGAAAGATTTTTTTAAGGAGAACAGTTCTCTTCATTTTGACTCATCTCAATTACTTCCGAGTTGTACTATCCTAAATTTAACTAATTTTACGATAGGTCAGTGCTTCTATTCTGTTATTGTAGTAATTATTATAGGCAAATAATAGTAATTATTACTTCTCAGTAATATATAAACAATTATAATATGACATGAACCAGTTTCGTAAAACGGCAATTCGTAACGTGTTACATACAGTTTTTATTCCAATTTTGACTAGATTGTAACCTACCAAAAGTTCTAAGCCACTTCCTAAGGGGAATTACTTAAAATTGAAAATAAAAAAAAATAACTTTATTAATAAACATCCTGTCTATTTTGGTTACACAAGTTTCGGTTGTTCCATGGACAACCTTCGGGCCTTCGACGTCGCTCAGACGGCAACTAGGGGGTGGATAGCTATTAAAAATTCCGAAAATAGTACATAAATGAAAGGCGCCAACTGGGTCTATATAGTGGCCAAACTATGCTCCTATTTTCCCACAAACCCAGTAAATGAGGAAAGAAATAAAAGAAACCTCAACTTATGTTCCTTTATAAAAAATTTACCAATTTTTCCAATTAAATGGTACAACAATCTTATAAATTATTTACCTTATGGCTTTTGATGAATTTATAGTCAAATAAACTAACGACTAAATACTGTAAGAAAATAAAATAATGTATAAGTCATGTGCATGAACACAAAAAGATAAAAAATTCACCAGCAGGTGGCACGGTCAGTCGTTAGCTTGGTACCAGGCAAAGGACGCTTGCGCACGACGGTAGCAAAAATATTGAGATCTTAATTTCTACCTTTTACATAAACAGTGAAATCAAAAAAATATATCTAAAAAAAGGCATGTGCGTATCCGCACCTATATCTAAACATCAACGTTTAATGTTGAAACACAATAAAATTTTAACACTCTCCAAATTGGAAGAAGTTACCTGCTTAACTTTTAGTTAAGAACAAATTATTTATAAAAAAAGTTTAAGACAATGAAATTTTATAATTAAATGTAAATCATAAAACAAAATAAAAAGAAATTGTAATGAACAAAAAAAAAATAATAACACACAAAAGACTTTAGACACAGAGGTTATTTACTGAAACTTCCAGATTGAAAGAGGTTAATTTACTTAATCTAATCTTTGCCCTTCATGGGTCTTAAGAGTCTGCTTAACTTATAGTTAAATCTTGTTTTTATATCAATAATAAAAAAAAGAAACCTAAAAGAGTTAAATGTTGACCATAGCCCTTAGTTCCTGTATTATTTATGGTCAATACCCAGACCGAGACGCTAAGTGCTTAAATAACAAAATTTTGAAATATAATAAACAAAAATATTAACACATAAAATGACTTGTGACACAGAGGTTATATACTGAAACTCCCAGATTGGAAGAGGTTAATTTTCTTATTCTAATCTCTGCCCTTCATGGGTCTTAAGAGTCTGCTTAACTTATAATTAAGTCTTGTGTTTTTAATAAAGAAGAAATCTAAAAATTGAAATGATGAACATAGCCCTTATGTTCTGAGGTATTTATGGTCAATACCCAAGCCGAGACAGTAAGTGCTTGAATGACAAAATTTTGAAATAGTGCTTAATTAATTAAATTTTGAAATATGTTAATAATACATAAGTTATTAATAGAAAAACTCTAGAACATTCTGTGTGCAAAATATAAATAATACCTTAGGACTATTCGTTTAACTTAATAAATTGGCAGGCACAGTGCATATATAAAACCTTCATTATAATATGAAAAACCTGATAGTAAGGTGTTTCCATTGACAGCATCACCGTCTTCCTATCCAGACAAAGAACCATCTATGTAAAACCAGCTAATAGTAAGCCAGGTGGCTAGTAAACCAATGTACTGTGTCCCCACAGTTGTTGAGTCTAGTTGAAACCGTTAAGCTCCGGAGTGTTTACCCTCTGGGTAAACCCTTAAAATATTACAAAATGTGTCAATATAAATTGACTTAAATTTCCCAAACTATACAATTAATTTCCCAAAATGTACCTAAACTAGAAACTATTACTACTACCATTACCATTACCATCTGGTACCAAGAGTCATAAACAATATTATGAACTCAAATAATTAAAATTCTGTTACACCAAGACATAACATAAAATAAATCAACAATCAAAAGGTGTACAATATTACCAAATATATACAAAACATACCTTTTTTGTAAAGGGTTAAACTGGTTGCCTTCCAAGTGTAAAAAAACGAGACTGCCGTCAGAAACCACATTTAAAGAATCAACTTCAATAATACACACTCAAATGCCGATGGATCTCCAATTTTTTATGTCTATAAATCCGTTAAGCGGGTGTAGATTGGGTCCAAAAAGCCATAGAAATTTAACTAAACAATGAAATTCCCCTAAAATATCCTATATCCGTTCTTCCACAATTAATATTGAAGTAAAATCTAGAATTCCCTCTAATAGGATAACTCGATGATTATATAAAATAAAGATTTTACTCCTCAGACAAAATTTGAGGTTCTTTGCCTTTCTTTACCTGTCAGACACACCTAACCAACATGGCATGATGTCCTTACTTCCGCCTCTAGAAAATGACAAGCCGAGTGCGTTTAGAAATTCATTCTTAAGCATATATTTTGGAGACTATTTACAAAAAATTACCCTACAAACTATATCTATATACAATATAACTACATTTGGAAATTGCTCTTGACAAAAATCGATCCCACGTCGATCGCGAAAAATTATCTAAGCGCGTACAACCTTACAGTTAAACGAACGCACCTCGTACAACGAATGCGACCTAAAATGCTCTCTGTGGAGCTACCCACATCCCCAACTAGCCATTCATAAAAGTGTATTTGTTGTGAAGTTCTCATCATCTATTGTATAGTCCAGGAGACATTGACGATTTTCGGTATTTATTTTCCCAGTCAGCAAGCACGAATAGAGAATTGTAGGATTAGCAATTCTAAGCAAAATTTATATATATTTAGAGGGGGGATCCGATGGGCTGAGGCCGAAAATGCATCAAAACATACGAGAACACGGCCCTATTTTTCCATTGATAAAAATAGTTTTAGTAGTAAGAGATGTACTGAAGTTAAGTAAAAAAATAGTCTGATTAATCTGTATGGATAATATATTTGGCAAGTGCATAAAATACACTTTCAAACGAGTTATGTACACAATTATTTCTACGACCATAATTATTTAAAGAATGTTCCAGGTGTTTTGTATATTAAAGTGAACGCATAGGACACATAAATAAAATCTTATATCACAATGTTTCACCTAACCAGTTGGTTTATTTATAGAAATTAAACATAATAATTGAAGATATTACAGAAGAAAATAGGGAAATAAATTACATTTCCTTTTACACTTTTATATAATAATTGTTTTATTTAGAATTCACGAATCACTTATTACTACATTAATTATAATTATGGAACCACGGTACTTTTGACATTTGCGATACTCCGACGCATATGCATTATTGATGTAATCTCATGATTTTACAGTAATAGTTTTTGCCATTTTAGTGTGATTTTTAGGTTATTATGGTTATTCATTTTATTTGGTTCTGATCTTTTGCGCTTTTAGAGTATTTGTCTTTTATATAGTATTTAATTTTAATATTGTGGTCTATTTATATTTGATTGCTGCTTTTCGACTAGTGCTTTATTCTTTTTGTGTTAAAATAAGCTTTATAACCATTAAGTACATGCTTCTAGTTGATATATACCTAATCGTCATCGGGTGCTTGCAACAATGGGAAAAAGTGTATGGTTTTTTTGGTGTAAAGTTA